ATGCAAAACCAAACTCTATATTTATATTTGATGATGTGGCATGTGAAAAACAAGATAATATTAGAGCATTTTTTTGTATGGGTAGACATGTAAGCGTTGATAGTTTCTATTTATGTCAAACTTATGCAAGAATTCCAAAACATTTAGTACGAGATAATGTGAACTTGTTAGTTCTTTTTCGTCAAGATGAAAAAAATTTAAAACATGTTTATGATGATCATGTGAATACTGATATGACATTTTCTCAATTTCGTGAATTATGTTCAGCTTGTTGGAATTCTGACAAGTATGGATTTGTTGTAATTGATAAAGATAGTAATTTAAATGAGGGAAGGTATAGAAAAGGTTTTGACTGTTTTATTTCACTATAAATAAAGATAATTTTTGAATTTGTTTTAGTTTAAATTGAGACTTTGATATATCAAGATGTATAATAAAGAGAAAGAATATTTACATCAAATTGCTAAAGCTAGTGAGGCAATTAGACGTAAACATCGTTTATTTAAATTAGGAAAAGAAAATGCTGAAAATCTGTTGAACGAAACCTTCAAACCTATAGTTGAAACTTTACAAAAAATTATTACCATAAATGACATTAAGCGTGAAAATTTTAAAACGGAAAGGATAGAAAAGGAGGAAAAAGGTGAAAGTAAAGAGGAAGATGATAATTTGAGTTTTAAGAGTATTGAAGATAGTGAATCAACAATAATCCCAGACTTTGAGTATGATAAACTGCTAAATAAGTATATTTACTTGATAGATCACAACAGAAAACAGTGTTTGGATCTAGTATATGGAGTACGTAAAATGCGAGATGGATCACTTCTGATTGGTGATAAACCAATAATTTTTAATCAACAGTTTTTGAATGTTGGAAATAGACGTTTTACCATTACCCCTGGATTATTGGAACTTTTATTTAAAAATAAACCGGAGAATTCACACATTAGTGATCATGATATAAATAATTATAAGCAAATTCTCATCGACTCCAATGCACATAGAAAAAAATACAGTGCTTCTGAACCTATTAATATAAGTAAAAGTTTTAAATACACTAATGTTATTTCAAATCTATTTCCTCAATCTGTAACTCCGAAAAGTAAGTCAAAAACTGGTACATCACTTCCAAAATTTATGATTACAAAAAGAAATTTTCAACCAGACTACATCTATTGGGATGATCCAAATGAGTTAGTTGATCGTTTAAGACTACTTACTGCATCACAAGCAGCTGGTAATCCAAGTCATAATAATGAAATTATGTCCATTATTGAAGAATTGCGTGAAGCTAAAATTATATATTAGAAGTTGTTTTATCAACTACATATCAGTTTCAAAATGAGCATTGATGTATTCGGTCATCCCCTCAATAGAGGAGGAACTGTAGCAGCAAAACGAGGACCACCTGGACCACCTGGAGTTGGTTTTAAAGTAGATTCAGAAGACAATTATGACTGTGGAGGGAAAAGAATTTGTAACCTTGCAAAAGCTAAAGCAGAGGGCGACGCAGTTAATTTATTACTTACTCAACGTATGATAGAGAATGAAGTGCGACTAGTATATCAAGTCACGTCTTCATTAAGGTTAGACATTGACAACAGTAATGTATTGTTAAAAATTCTTGAAGCTTCGGTAACAGATAAACTACAAAATCTTGAAAAACAAATAAATGAAAATTTTCAAGACATTGATAACAGTAATGTGTTATTAAAAACTCTTGAAAACTCTATAGGAGAAAAATTAAACAATCTTGAAAGACAAATAAATCAAGATTTATCTTATCGAAACGCTGAAATTATTGGTGAACTAGATACTCGTATGAGAGTTCTGGAAAATGAAACGAAAAATTTTGAAATACAAACAAAGAAAAATGTATTGGAGACTGACAGTGGTAATGTGCTGTTAAAAACTCTTGAAGGCTCATTGTCAGAAAAATTAAACAATCTTGAAAGACAAATAAATCAAGATTTATCATATCGAAACGCTGAAATTATTGGTGAACTAGATACTCGTATGAGAGTTCTGGAAAATGAAACGAAAAATCTTGAAATACAAACAAAGAAAAATGTATTGGAGACTGACAGCGGTAATGTGCTGTTAAAAACTCTTGAAGGCTCAGTGTCAGAAAAATTAAACAATCTTGAAAGACAAATAAATCAAGATTTATCATATCGAAACGCTGAAATTATTGGTGAACTAGATACTCGTATGAGAGTTCTGGAAAATGAAACGAAAAATCTTGAAATACAAACAAAGAAAAATGTATTGGAGACTGACAGCGGTAATGTGCTGTTAAAAACTCTTGAAGGCTCAGTGTCAGAAAAATTAAACAATCTTGAAAGACAAATAAATCAAGATTTATCATATCGAAACGCTGAAATTATTGGTGAACTAGATACTCGTATGAGAGTTCTGGAAAATGAAACGAAAAATCTTGAAATACAAACAAAGAAAAATGTATTGGAGACTGACAGCGGTAATGTGCTGTTAAAAACTCTTGAAGGCTCAGTGTCAGAAAAATTAAACAATCTTGAAAGACAAATAAATCAAGATTTATCATATCGAAACGCTGAAATTATTGGTGAACTAGATACTCGTATGAGAGTTCTGGAAAATGAAACGAAAAATCTTGAAATACAAACAAAGAAAAATGTATTGGAGACTGACAGCGGTAATGTGCTGTTAAAAACTCTTGAAGGCTCAGTGTCAGAAAAATTAAACAATCTTGAAAGACAAATAAATCAAGATTTATCATATCGAAACGCTGAAATTATTGGTGACCTAGATACTCGTATGAGAGTTCTTGAAAATGAAACGAAAACTCTTGAAATACAAACAAAGAAAAATTTATTGGAGACAAACAACGGTAATGTGCTGTTAAAAACTCTTGAAGGCTCCGTGTCTGAAAAATTAAACAATCTTGAAAAACAAATAAATCAAGATTTATCATATAAAAATGCTGAAATTATTGGTCAACTGGACAGTCGTTTGAGAGCTCTTGAAAATGAATGACAAAAAGTTGACAGTAGTGAATGAACTTCACACACAAGCTCGAAAAAATTATCCTCGACGTCGAGTTGAAATGCGTGACATTGATGATACTTGGCAAGCAGATTTGGTTGAAATGATACCATATTCCAAAGTTAATAAAGGATTCAAGTACTTACTTACAGTTATAGATATATTTTCCAAGTACGCTTGGGCTGTTCCTGTAAAGAATAAAACTGGAAAAGATGTGACTGATGCAATGAAATCTATATTTGCAAAAGGACGTAGTCCAAAAAATTTGCATTGTGATAAGGGAAAAGAATTTTATAATTCACAATTTGAGGCTTTAATGGAATTGAGAAAAATTAATTTTTATTCCACCTATAGTAACCTAAAAGCATCCATCGTGGAACGTTTTAACCGAACACTCAAAAGGAAAATGTGGATTCAGTTTAGTTTCAGAGGAAATTACAAGTGGTGTGATATATTACCTAATCTCATTTCCAAGTATAATGATACAAAACATCGCACAATTGGAATGAAACCCAAAGATGTCACTGGAGATCATGTTGAAACTTTGAAAGAGCGATTCTTCAAACTCAGAAAAATACCTTTCAGAAAATCAAAATTTAAAATTGGAGACAAAGTTCGAGTTAGCAAGTATAAAAATGTGTTTGAGAAGGGTTACACACCGAATTGGACAACTGAAATATTTACTATTGATAAAGTTAACCCTTAGCAGCACAGTGGTCAGTGCTACTGACCACATATTTTATTTAACATTTTCGATGATAAACGTGTAATTTTTAAATAAAAAATGATTGTTTCTAGCTTTTTATAGTACCATGAGTATAACTAAATAAAAGAAAAACCTAAAATATACATCATTACATAAATAAAGTATTGTTTTAAACAAAGGAAAATAATAAAATGCCACATATTTCATAAAAAATTGAAAAATAATAGATTATTTCCAAGTAATAAAATACCTATTCAGATATGGAGGTTTTTAGGGATGCTGAATATGAATCCGACGTCCGTTTTGAAAAATTCAAAATGGCGGATCCAATATGGCGGACGAGTTTTCCAAAAAGTGCTCGAATTTGCTTGAAACTTGACACTCGGGAGTTTTTGGGGTCGCTGATTACGAATCCGATGTCCGTTTTGAAAAATTCAAAATGGCGGATCCAATATGGCGGACGAGTTTTCCAAAAAGTGCTCGAATTTGCTTGAAACTTGCCACTCGGGGGTTTTCGGGGTCGCTGATTACGAATCCAATGTCCGTTTTGAAAAATTCAAAATGGCGGATCCAATATGGCGGACGAGTTTTCCAAAAAGTGCTCGAATTTGCTTGAAACTTGACACTCGGGGGTTTTTGGGGTCGCTGATTACGAATCCGATGTCCGTTTTGAAAAATTCAAAATGGCGGATCCAATATGGCGGACGAGTTTTCCAAAAAGTGCTCGAATTTGCTTGAAACTTGCCACTCGGGGGTTTTCGGGGTCGCTGATTACGAATCCGATGTCCGTTTTGAAAAATTCAAAATGGCGGATCCAATATGGCGGACGATTTTTCCAAAAAGTGCTCGAATTTGCTTGAAACTTGCCACTCGGGGGTTTTCGGGGTCGCTGATTACGAATCGGACGTTTGTTTTAAAAAATCCAAAATAGCAGATCCAATTTGGTAAACGAATTTTTTGAAAAGAACTTGAATTTGCTTAAAAGTTGTTATTTGAAGTTTTTGGACTACAGCATTTAAAAATTCCAGAAAGCAACTCGTTCTTAGCGCTACCCAGAACTAACGGCGAGGACGTGACGAGTTTCTAGTTCCATTTTTCTTTTTTTGTAGTTTTTCTTTATTTTTAATTTTTTTTGTAATTTTTTTGTTTTTTAAATTTTTTTTTTATTTTTAATTTTTTTAGTAATTTTTTTGTTTTTTTTAAAATTTTTTTATATATATAACTTAAGTTTTTTAGAAAAGAAAAATTGTTTTCAGAATGCAGGTTTCGTCTATTTGTGATATTCCAAAAAACAATTTTGTGACGAGGATAAGCATAGTGGTACATCGCAAGTAGAACAAACCCAAGCAGTTCTCTTGGGTTTCTCTCGAGTACTGCAATTGGCACAACGTCTAAAGTCACCCAAGTTCTCAGGCATATGAGCCGATTCAGACTGCCTTTTTGTGAGAGATACCTTCGGCTTATGTGCGTTTACTGTTCGCTGTTTTCGTTTTCGGCCTCTCGGTGCTGGCTTTGCCTGAGCAACCAATTTTTCTACCAGTTGTAGACGAAATTCCTTCAGAGTCAAAGTAGACTGAGAATTTTCATTTTTGAAAATAATAAATGAATTTACTACCGTTACGTCTACAAAGTACCAAAATAAACGCAACCACCATCTTTTTGACTTGCGGTCAATTTTATAAGTTGCTACTAGTCTGTCTGAATAATCAACATATCCCATGTGTTTGTTATAGTCAGAAGCTACAACTGGACAATTTACAGCTAGCAATGATCCATCTTTTTGCTTGCGGTTGACGATAGTCGTTTCAGATGGATCATGGTAATTGGATAAAAAATAAACGAGTTTTTTATCCATCCATTTGATCCACTGGAGGCCTGTGGATGAAGTCATAAATTCATATTCCCCTTTTTTCAAATTGTTATTTGACTTTTGGTTCTTTGGCAATTTGGATCGATTTGAACGTACTGTACCGCAAGCAAAAATATTCTCCTTTTTCAGATCAACTAAAAGATCGACCCCCGTAAAGAAATTGTCAAAATATACATGATAGTTTCCCACCAACCAGTTCACGGGTAAGATCTTTTATTATACGAGCGCCTAATTGTTTTTCTGGCGAATCGGATTTCCCCGTATATACTTGGAATTCGCTTATGAAACCGGATTCATCTGATCTTGTCCAACTTTTATAACCACGTTTTATTGGCTTTGCAGGCATGTATTGCTTTAAACTGCTGCGACCTTTGAATTTTATCATTGATTCGTCAATGGATTGATATTTTCCTGGATTCCAACAGGATTTGAACGTGTGACTAAGCGTATCAATGATTGGTCTCAATTTATATAGTTTGTCATAATTCGGGTGTCCTTTCTTGGGTTCATTATTATTATTATTTAAATGTAAATGACTTAAAAAAAACCCGAATCGATTGACTGTCATGAGGGAAGATATGTATGAGTCGTGCAATTGAGCATTGGATGACCAATGATCCCGATAAGAGGGTAATTTTTTTATTCCCATCAAAATATTAATTCCCAAGAACACAAGTAGCTCGACTTTTGTCACTGGCTCCTGTTTGCTGTTTTTTTGTCGTGCATATAAATTTGTTTCTTCCACTATTTTTTCCACAAGGCTGTCTGGAAATAAGCAGAAGAAAATTTCTGATGCGGTTTTTGCATGTGCAGGAATATTTGGACCTGAGTTTTTATTGAATGGGAAATCCGTTCTTGGTACATTCCGTCTACTCCAAGTTCCATCTTTTTCTACATGCTCTACCTCTTCTTCACTCTCTTCTTCTTCTTCTTCTTCCTCTTTTTCTTTAGCACTCAAAAGAAGAGGACAGTCTGTTGCACTTTTTGTTTTTTGCAAAGATTGTACATCATTTTCAGCTTCTGAATCGCACAGATCATCAACAGATTCAGAATCACTGGGAATGTCCACTAATTCTACTTCGTCCTCCATTTTTTACGTACTTACCTGGTACAATGAATGGAACGAGTGATCTTCCCAGTACAGCAGTACCAGTATACTGGTGTACTGAGATAAACGTAATAAACAAATAGGGTCAACCGGGGTAAATCCGAACGCTTTTAGTAAGTTTCAACAATAACATAAGTTTTTTCTTTAAAAAAAAAATACTTCCGGTATTCTGGTGCATGAAGTTGTTACTTTACTTCCATAGAACAATTTTATGGGGTAGCAAAAATTTTTGATAAATTACAATCGCAGGAAACTTAGCGTTCGTATTTACCTCGATACTTTGCAACTTTCCTAAAATATGGGGGTAAATACGAACGCCACTGTATTTCAGAAAAATCTTAGGGAAAATAAATTTAAAGTATTGCAATTGTTAAACTTATATAAAAACTCAAAAAAAATACGATAATAAACCTATTATGTAATAATGCATCATATATAAATACAAAAATCAAACAGGTTAAAAATTAAAATGCATTACACAATTAAAACCTTCAATAACTTTATCAAATCAACGGATTTTTGCAAAACTTGGTACAGAAAGTATTTTGGAGTGATTGAATGTAAACACAAAAATAAAAGTCAAATTTTTTAAATTCAAAATGGCGTACTTTCCTAAAACTTATTTTTAAAAATGATCAAATTTGCTAACCCTGAAACCCCCCGAGTAACAATTTTCGAGCGAATCCAATGAATTTTTTAATTCTCGTCCGCCATTTTGAATTTTGAAAAACTGACTTCAAATTGGTAATTAGCGACCCCAAAAACCGTAGAATACCAAATTTTATTAAGATCCTGAAAAACTTTTTTCAACAAACCATTTGGCAAAAAAATTGAAACACTCATTCGAGAGAACAGAGATTAAGTTTCTGCTTATTAATTACTAACGAGGATACGTATAGAAAGAAAAACTTTTTTCTATGTACTTTTATAGTGTTAAAATAATAGTGTAATCAAATAAAAACAATTTTGTGTGGCTTTGATGTAAAAAAAAATTATTAAAAATACCGTTCGGATTTACCCCAGTTTTCCAATTTTCTTGGGTAAATACGAACGGTCTGATATTATTAATAAAATTTTACAGAAGGCAAAAATCAAATATAGTTTCTGTTCTAGTATTCATAACAAACAATTATAAATAATAAAATGAATTTTTAGCTTCTTTTTCTTCAAATACGAGACAAAATACTGAAAGAGTGTCATCTTTGATTTTCAATCTGTTTTGCAATACTTGTTATCTTTGTTTATGCTGTTGCTAATTAACAAACAAAAAAAGGGATAATACTTAGAATCTCTTCAAGAGGATCTGAGGTAAAAATTCTCTTATCGAACTTATTTTTAAAAATTTTAATTAAGCTGAAATAATTAGCGTTCGGATTTACCCCCCATTCGGATTTACCCCGACTGACCCTAATAAATTTTTTTTAAAATAACTGGCAGAATAACTGAAGAAAGAATAATATAAAAGGAAATAAAAATTTCTGAAAAGAAATAAAAAAACTATTGTTTTTGAGAACAAGAAACAATTAAAAATAAAATATGAATAACAGAAGAAAGAAATAAAAAAGTTAATAAAAGAAGGAAGGAAATAAAAAAGTTCCGAAAAGATCTGATTTACTCGACTATAAAATAAAAGAATTCCACTTACCTGCGAAAATGTACGAAAATTTTGTAATGTTTCTATCTCAAAAGTCACTTGTATTTATATATTACCTTACGCATGTTGTTAGTGAGAAAATCTACTTCACCATCTTGCGGACCAAAGAAGAACTACAATTACATAAATTCTCGTTTTATCAGCAATATGGTAAAGTAGATTTTCTTATTATCTAAATGCGTTACGTAATGTATAAGTGCAGGGAACATTAGAGATAGACAAAATACAAACTTTTCCTACATTTTTTCAAGAAAGTAAAAATCTTTTACTTTATAAACTTGCAAATCTATTCTTTTTAAAATTTTTAATTACCTTTATTCTAAAATGTATTTAATTATTTTTTTCTTCTGTTATTATTTTTTATTTTCAATGTTTTCTTTTCCTCAAAAGAATATTTTTATAATTTCTTTTTAAAAAATTTTATTTCCTTTTATATTATTTTTTCTTTAGTTATTCTTACAGTTTTTTTATTGGTCGACTTCTGCGTTTATCTCAGTTCTTTTTCTGTTTATCTCAATATCTGTTGATAGACTGTTTTTTAGACGCCGAAAATGATGTCCAATCTTTCCAAAAGTTAAAAGAAGCAACAGATTGTCATATTTTTTTTACTACAAAGAATTGCAACAAGAAAAAAGTCAACAAGAGATAGAGAATGTAGAGAAAAATAGAGCTTGTAGTGAATATAGTGTACAAAAAATGGATGTTTCATTCACCTAAAACTTTGGTTCAAATATTTCTGCACATGCAAAAACAGCATCAGAAATTTTCTTCCGCTCATTCTGGAATTGCCCTATTATCAGGATTATTGGTCAGACAATATTTAATTCCATACATATCGTCCCTCAGGACAGTCAATCGATTCGCGTTTTTTCTAAGTCTATATGTAAGGACACCCGAATTATGACAAATTGTATAAATTAAAATCTGTCATTGATTTGCTTAGTCAAATGTTCAAAAACTGTTGCAATCCAGGAAAGTATTAATCCATTGATAAATCAATGATAAAATTCAAAGGACGGAGCAGTATGAAGCAATACGTGCTCGCAAAATGAATAAAATGGAATTTTAAAACTTCGACAAGATTAGATGTTCTCAAAGGCTGGGTAGTGTAAAAAACAAGTAACATTGTGGAGTTTGTAAATGCTGCAATCTATGAATAACAAACTTGGAAGAATTCAAACAACAGGTTTCAAGCAAAATTAATCACTTTTCGGTAAACCGCATCGCCATATTAGATTCAAGCACTTTCCGAAAAACTCGTTCGCCATATTGGATCCGCCATTTTGAATTTTTCAAAAAGGACGTTAGATTCGTAATCAGCGATCCCGAAAACCCCAGAGTAGCAAGTTTCAAGCAAATTCGAGCACTTTTTGGAAAACTCGTCCGCCATATTGGATCCGCCATTTTGAATTTTTCAAAACGGACATCGGATTCGTAATCAGCGACCCCGAAAACCCCCGAGTGGCAAGTTTCAAGCAAATTCGAACACTTTTTGGAAAACTCGTCCGCCATATTGGATCCGCCATTTTGAATTTTTCAAAAAGGACGTTAGATTCGTAATCAGCGACCCCGAAAACCCCAGAGTAGCAAGTTTCAAGCAAATTCGAGCACTTTTTGGAAAACTCGTCCGCCATATTGGATCCGCCATTTTGAATTTTTCAAAACGGACATCGGATTCGTAATCAGCGACCCCGAAAACCCTAGAGTAGCAACTTTCAAGCAAATTCGAGCACTTTTTGGAAAACTCGTCCGCCATATTGGATCCGCCATTTTGAATTTTTCAAAACAGACGTCGGATTCGTAATCAGCGACCCCAAAAACCCCCTATAGCGTACTTGATAGATAATTGTCTGTTAATGAAAAATGTATGCTTCAAAGGGTTAAACAAACTCGACCTGTTACTTACTTGCTAAAGGACTACCAAGATCAACAAATTAGCGGAGGATTCTATGAAGAGGAACTTCTTAAAGTGAAATATTCCGATGTATATCTTGTTGAAAAAGTACTCAAGAGGCGTGGAAATAAAATTTTTGTCAAGTGGTTAGGCTTCGATAGTACTCATAATAGTTGGATAGATAAAACAGACTAATGTTAAAACAAAAAAAAGAATCATTAATGAATCATTAATGAATCAATAATGAATCATTAATGAATCAATAATGAATCATTAATGAATCATTAATGAATCATTAATGAATCATTAATGAATCATTAATGAATCATTAATGAATCATTAATGAATCAATAATGAATCAATAATGAATCATTAATGAATCAATAATGAATCAATAATGAATCAATAATGAATCATTAATGAATCAATAATGAATCATTAATGAATCATTAATGAATCAACAATGAATCAATAATGAATCAATAATGAATCATTAATGAATCATTAATGAATCAACAATGAAATAATATTAACTAAATGTTAAAACTAATTTTAAGCTTTGATATGTATTAATTACTTTTAAAATTTTTAAAAATTGTAATATTTTGTTAGGAATAAATGAATAAAATTAAATGTATCTGGTAAAACTGTCTATTTATTTAGTAACAATTTTTATATTTACAAATTTTCACACACATACATTATAAGCTTAATCTCTTTCCTCTATTCTATAATGTCCCCAAGCAAGAGTATCATAGCTATCTGGTAATAAATATCGTTTGTCGTCCATTGGACTTAAAGCAACTTTAAGTTGTTTAACAGTTTCAACTTTATGAAGTCGTGATCGAATTACATGTTGAGTTCTTGTCTGAATTGCAAAATTTTGTAGACAGTCAGTATAATCATTGAAATTGATATATTTTTTTACAACTAACGATCTAACTCCCTTAGCTTTCTTTGTAAAATCCTGACCGTTTACACGAATACTATACATCTTACTCCTTAAACCAACAAATTCTGTGATTATTTTTCCACTACATTCATCTTTCATAAGTCCAAGTACTTTGTTGTTGGCTTGAGGAATATTATAAATATTATCCTTTGGATAATCCGACGTATCAAACTTATGAATATCCTCCTTCATATCCACATAAATATCAGCGCACTTTATTTCATAAATTAAACTATCGGTATCTGTATACATCAACTTACAAGATTCACCATACTTTTTTAACATGTAGTCATAATGAAAGTCATAAATAAGTAACTTGGATACATCGAGTACTGCAAAACCAATGTAAATTGGTTTGTTCATCAAAATTTCGGTTTTTCTTAGTTCAATTGCAACCAAATTTTCACAGAAAATTGACCGACTGTGAAAATTTGGTTTAGATATCAGAGCCTCAGCTCCATAGCGACCCTCCCACTTAGTTA